GTACTGGTAGCAAGATAGCACAAAACACAGATCAGTGACAATCTGTGTTTTGTGATCTGTACATACTATCAAGAGAAAGAAACGTGATTCTAATGCATGCATTCAGGGCAACGAGAGCAGAAACAGTTGATCAGTTGTCAGATTAATGTCGCCAGTCAGAAGTTATTTGACTAATGTGTTTCCTTCTCCTTTTTTTCTTCTCAAAAAACTCAATGAACTACCTTAATAAGGCTTAAAATCTGTTTTTCAACATTTTGAAAGTTGATTTTAATTTTTCTGTTTTCATCAAACTCTTCTAATGTAATTCTTCAAAATGGGCATTAAAAAACATTGATGACCACATATCTTGTGTCACTTGTGCTGCCACCAGGACCGTCACAGGTAGGGAGGAACGCTCTATGCCAACTTGAAACAAGTGAGGCTCTGCTTCTTGACATAGATGAGTAATTACACATGAATAAATATTGATCTGTTTTCTACTTCTGCTTCTGTTGTGGTTTTTGTATTTTTTGCAGCCTTTGCCCTACACCACACCTAGAGTCTCATCAAGCATAATCAGACTTAACAGTCACATTGACATGTCTTTTATAGTAATACTGAACTCAAGTTATACAAAATGTGGAAACTTGCACTCATTAAGTCTTCTTAATTCAGATAAAATTATTTTTTATATAAACTGTTGACATGGAGATTGGAAACAGTATTACCTAATTTAATTGGAGAGGACCAAAATGGTTTGTACAATGTAGACAAGGATTTAATAATGTAAGGAGGCTTCTCAACGTCCTTTATTAGCTGCAAAATGCACCAGATTCTGCCATTTATCATAAGATGCAGTGAAGGCATTCGACCTTATGATGTGGCCCTTTTTATTTGATTTATTGACTAAATTTGGGTTTGGGGAGAATTTTTCCGAATGGGTTAAAATTCTCTGTAATGACCTAGTAGCTGAGGTGCTTACAAACAATACAGTGTCAAAACCTTTCAATATATCGAGGGGATGTCCGCAGGGATCACCCCTTTCTCCTCTCCTCTATGTAATTTCTATACAACCCTTTGTCATTGCAGTCAGAAAACATATGGACATTACTGGAGTTAATGTTGGCTAGATGGAACACAAATTTGCTTTGTTTGATGATGATGTTCTCCTTTTTCTTAAAAATCTTAGTGAGTCTATGCCAGCTCTTTTAGAGCTCATTGGAACATTTGGGAAGATATCAGGATAGAAAGTAAATCACTCAAAAAGCATGCTAATGTTACTAGACGATAAAAATGGGGTACATTTCCTTTTCATTTAACCAATAGCTTTACATATCTGGGAATACAACTTGCACCAAAACTAGAGAACATAGTCTCTGTAAAATATGAACCATTATTAGAAAATATTTCTAATTCTATAGAGAGATGGACATTACTACCCATATCCTTAATTGGTTGCATAAATGTAAAAGAAGATAAAAAAAGAAGAATAAAAGAAGATCTATGTGAGACTGATTGGACAGAGGCATGTAAGGAAGCTCAGATTCAAACAATAAGTGTAAGATTGAAATTATTGCAATATAAATGGTTGATGCGGACTTACATAACTCCAGCTATTCTACATAAGTATAATGAAAATGTTCCAGATACCTGCACAAAATGCAACAAACTCAAGGGTGATTATTACCATTACAGTACATATGGGAGTGTGAACATATGTCTTTCTGGAAAGGTGTGAGGGATATGATCAATAAAATGCTAAGTAGCATTTAAGATAAGAAGGCAGGAACAGAATGTGAGGTCAGTGGCGTCCATCATGCCAACAGAAGAAGAGAGAGAGGGAAAATGTATGCATGATTCTTTGGTCTCATGAGGTCCCTGGACCGGTCATGGACTGTTTATTTTTTCCTGCAAAGCTTTTTTTCCCCTCAATTTCAGGCATGACAGTAAAAAACCCAAATGACTCACAAATGATCTGTAATTAATTTTTTTTTAAAGAAAAAAACGCCTAGGGAGATGCAGCTTTAGGACTTTGTCACCCCTTTTTTCTTCTTCCACCATTATTCCATGGAAGTTACAGCTTCCTCAAACAGCTCCCATGATGTGCAGCCTCAGTTGCAGCCTTCATCTGTTCCTCAAGTTCTGCCTCATAGGCCATCAACGTAGACAAGGCTTTTACAGCATGAACTGATAGTGAGTCTGTTCTGTAGGACTTAGTCTGGCTTGACTCAGACTTAAGTTAAAGAGGTCCACTCTTGATCAAACAGCGGGACCTCCCACCACCACTTAGGGCTGTGCCGTGAGCGCTGGCTCAAATGGAGGCTTCTAGCAGAGACTACACTTATCCTACCAATCACAATCCTTCACCGAACCGCCAGCTGGTTGGAACTTTACCTGAAATTACTTGTGGCATGAGAATACAGCTAATTCTTCCAGGAACTCAAGGAGAAACAGAAGGTGCTGTCTGGTTGTCTTGAGTGTTTTCAGTAGCTTCTTGCCTTCAACAGGTCTCTTCAGCCTAAATCTTTTGTCCCTGGATGTCAAACTTCCCAGCGGCGTGTTTGCATACGTCATGCTAATTGAGATCTAGCCTAAGTGAGAAGCCGTCCTAAGGCAGTAGGTTTTACAACCACACCAAAGGGGGGAAGAGATGGGTCATAGTCCTCATCGTTGTCTAAAAAGTTTAGCTCCAACCTGCTTAAGCCTGCCTAGAGCTCTGACATTCCAGGTGGTGGTGGGTCCACAGCATCAAGAATTTCTCCCCACCTTTTCCTGACTTCTTTGTCAATTATTAAAGAAACAGTCTGGGAGGCCATTAGCTGGTCACTATTGTACACTGTCAACTGAGGGGCCAGACAGCAACAAAGAACCTTGAGAAAGACAGGCTACACTGCCAGCTCTCGTCCACAGATGCAAGGGCTTGAGTCGAAGTCAAGTCGATGCGTTGCTCTAAGTCAGGGCATTGGGGGGCGGAACGCTGTGGCTGCAGATTACCTACAATACCTGGAGTAGGTCTAATCCAGCTTTTATTGTAAACTGTAGTGTGTGCTCTACTAAGCCCATATGATAAACTAATACGATGGCTGTTTTTCACACCACCATGCAAACTAACACCTCCCAAGGGTGTGTTGAGGAGGAGTTGTCGAGATGTGAATCAACTCAGCTTTTTAAAGTCAACTTGTTGACAAGTCAACTTTTTGGTGAATGCCCTACAGGGAGGCCACAAGGGAATTAGCTGGTGGAAAATAATCTAACTAGGTGTGGCAAGGTTGGGGCAGAGATGCAGCTTCCCTAAATGTAGCTTACACTAAGGGAGTATTGCTACTCTGAGCTGACCAACGTACAACCGAGGTGCTAAGTTGGCATTCTACTAGTTTAGTGGTATTTCTACCAGAATAGCTAGCTGCGTTGATGATGAAAAAACCCAGAGCAAACTAGCCTGCAACAGAGCTAGGCTACAGAGGCTACAGAGAGTGTTAAAGCGAGGTCAGCTCCGGATCCTGCGTCCCTTTAACTGACAGGCTTATTTTC